CAAAAAAAAAAAAAAAAAAGAAAGAAAAATAAAAAAGAAACAGCCAGCTATGGTGGCTAACATCTGTAATCCCAGCACTCAAGAGGCTGAAGAAATAATTTCATGAGTTTGAGGCCAGCCTGGGTTACATAGCAAGACTGTGTCTTAAAAACAAGATACCAAAATGAAAGAGAGACAGAAAATAGACAATGATTATTCATGTTATTAATTGTCATTAGTGATAATCAGCATGGAATGATGACCATGTGTGGAAAAGGAAAGTCATACAAGGGCTGGGAAGGTGGCTCAATGGTAGAACGCTTGCCTTGCATGCATGAGGCCCTGGGTTCGAGTCCTCAGTACCACATAAGCAAAAAGAAAAAAAAAGCCAGAAGTGGCGCTGTGGCTCAGGTGGTAGAGCGCTAATCTTGAGCTGAAGAGCTGAGGGATAGTAGTGCCCAGGCCCAGAGTTCAGGCCCCACGACCAGACCCAAAAAATAAATAAATAAATAAATAATGTAACTAGGTCTGGGAAGATGGCTCCGTGGTAGAGTGCTTGCCTTGCATACATGAGGCCCTGGATTTGATTTCTCAGCACTATATCAACAGAAAAAGCCTGACATGGCGCTGTGGCTCAAGTGGTAGAGCACTAGCCTTGAGCTGAAGAGCTGAGGGACAGTGCCCAGGCCCAGAGTTCAAGCCCCAGAAGTGACAAAAAAAAAAAAGTAGCCAGGTGCCAATAGCTCATGCCTGTAATCCTAGCTATTCAGGAGGCTGAGATCTGAGGATCGAGGTTCAAAGCCAGGCAGGAAAGTCCGTGAGACTCTTGTTGTTTTGGGTTTTTTTGGGTCCGGTCGTGGGGCCTGAACTCTGGGCCTGGGCACTGTCCCTTATCTCTTCAGCTCAGGACTAGTGTTCTACCACTTGAGCCACAGCACCACTTCCGGCTTTTTTCTTTTTGCTTATGTGGTGCTGAAGAATTGAACCCAGGGCCTCAAGCATGCAAAGCAAGCGCTCTACCACTGAGCCACCTTCCTAGCCCCTCCATGAGACTCTTTATCTCCAATAAACCACTCAGAAAACCGGAAGTGGTACGGTGGCTCAAGTAGTACAGCACTAGCCTTGAGCTGAAGAGATGAGGGACAGCTCCCAGGCCCAGAGTTTAGGCCCCACAACCAGACCCCAGAAAAAAGGTAAGTACAATCATTCCACTTATATTAAACAGCAGGAAATGAAAACATATATAGTGACAAAAGGCAGACAAGTGGTTACTCAAATAAGGAGGACATGGAAGCATGTGAGGTGAGATACAAGGATTGCAAAAGAGCTTTAGGAAACTTTGGGAGGTGAGTATGCTCATGATCTTGTCTGCAGTGATGTTTTATAGGTTTATACAGATTTCAAACTTTGTCAAATTGTGCATTTTTAATATATACAGATAAATGTTTTTATACCTATTAGTAACTATTCACAGGGTCAGAGAGATGGCTTTATATAGAATTAAGCAGAAAAGGAAAGGTAGGTGGATCAGAAAGGATGGCAAGAAGAAAGAATGACCTATATAGGCCAACAGAGAAAAAAAATATTAGAGTAATCACCTGTTTAAGTTTCCTAATTAGTTCTCGAAGTTGAGCTTCCACACGAAATGCAGAAAATAAGCACCTCCAATGAATCCAATGTTTTTGGCACCATGAAGCTGGAGCTCCACTATAAAACAGAAATATTGGTACCTTGAAAACGTGTTTTAAAAATTTTGTTAATAGACTTTTTACATACATATGCACTAAAAAATACATCTAAGCATTTTCTCAACTAATTTATCTACACAGAAAAAAAATTCTGTAAGATCATTTTCAGGAAGAGATTGAGGAAAGAACAAAGAGAACCAATACATGCCATAGACAGATAGATAGATAGATAGATAGATAGATAGATAGATAGATAGATAGATACACACATACATACATACAGAATATATGCTTAACACATATGTGTCTAATACACACAGACAGACACACACACACACACACACACCCCTAAGTCACCTGACATGATGTTGATGTTTAAATACCTCAGCATCATCCCTACTGAACCTCAGTGCCTAAAGTCACATAGCTATAGATTCAACTAACATTTACCAATACAAGGGATCATCTCACTCACATACCTTGATTTGCACTGTTCAAAGATAACAGCTAAAGTTGCAAAGTCATTAAATCCTCCAGCTTTAGCTGCCAATTCTCGATGTCTCTGTTCTGCTTCCTTCTGGTACTCGGGATCAACTAAAAGAAAATGAGACAATTTAGTTCTATTTTCCACCACTGTGCCTGTTTTTGCCAAATTCATCAAAATCTTGTTTCACCCTATGTAATATAAGGTAGAACTACATAAGCTCTTCTTGAGAGGCTTTAAATTCCTTCTACAACTTTTCTTCTTTGCTCTTTCTTCTTAATGTTTTCAGTATGTCACATATTCATTTAAAAAAATCCTCAAGCCGGCACCAGTAGCTCACCCTTGTAATCCTAGCTACTCAGGAGGCTGGGATTTGAGGATCGCTGTTCAAAGCCAGCCTGGGCAGGAAAGTCTGTGAGACTCTTACCTCCAATTAACCACCAGAAAATGGGAAGTGATGCTGTGGTTCAAGTGGTACAGAGCTAACCTTGAGCTGAAGAGATCAGGGACAGTGCCCAAGCCGAGAGTTCAGCCCAACAACTGACCAAAATAAAAAAAATCCTCAAGGCTATCCAATATTAATTGGTCCCCAACTAATAATAATTCAACTTGGGATTTTCTGATTTTACAATGATGTGAAAACAATATGTATTCAGCAGTAACTACACTTTAAATTTTCATCTTTTCTCAACATGTACCAACTCCTTCATGATACAGTATCAGGAGCCAGACTTCTATGTTAACCATACATTTATGAGGATAAACAACAGATGATTTCACAGTGCACTCTGTTATAAGCTATGATCAGTAGGTTACATATTTTAAATGTGTATTTGAACTACAATATTTTCAACTTACGATAGGTTCATCAGCATAGGAACAGTCTAAATCAAAGAATACTGGTCTCGCCGGGTGCTGGTGGCTCACGCCTGTAATCCTAGCTACTCAGGAGGCTGAGATCTGAGGATCGCGGTTCAAAGCCAGCCTGGGCAGGAGAGACTGTGAGACTCCTATCTCCAAAAAACCACCAGAAAACCGGAAGTGGCGCTGTAGCTCAAGTGGTAGAGTGCTCGCCTTGAGCTGAAGAGCTGAGGGACAGCGCCCAGGCCCAGAGTTCAAGCCCCACGACCGACCAAAAAAAAAAAAAAAAAAAGAATACTGGTCTTAAGTAGGTATACTACTAAATATTTTCTATGTATGATGTATCTATACAGTGTTTTATGTTTTGTCAATGGGATGTAAAAATTACTTTATTCATTTCATTACCTGTATTTCAGTACATATAGAATCATTCAATAAAAATTATGATCTGATATTGCCTAGAGTTGAGGAACACCACAATTTAACCAATTTCTAATTATGGGTAATTAAACATGACTCCATTGCCAAGAAGGGAGGACTGAGTTTGAAGTACAACAGTACCTCAATTCACCTTTCCCGGAGTTCCTGCTCCATATAGTTCCAAGAGGAGGATGAGAACAATTGCTATAAAACATTAGCAATGGGCTGGGAAGGTGGCTCAGTGGTAGAGTGCTTGCCTTGCATGCCTGAGGCCCTGGGTTCGATTCCTCAGCACCACATAAGCAGAAAAAAAAAAAAGCCGGAAGTGGCACTGTGGCTCAAGTGGTAGAGTGCTAGCCTTGAGCTGAAGAGCTGAGGGATACCACATAAGCAGAAAAAAAAGCCGGAAGTGGCACTGTGGCTCAAGTGGTAGAGTGCTAGCCTTGAGCTGAAGAGCTGAGGGACAGCGCCCAGGCCCAGAGTTCAAGCCCCATAACCAAAAAAAAAAAAAAAATTCTGACACAGTCAAAATGTTTTAACAGGGGCTGGGAAGGTGGCTCAGTGGTAGAGCACTTGCCTTGCATGCATGAGGCCCTGGGTTCAATTCCTCAGCACCACATAAGCAGAAAAAAAAGCCGGAAGTGGCACTGTGGCTCAAGTGGTAGAGTGCTAGCCTTGAGCTGAAGAGCTGAGGGACAGCGCCCAGGCCTAGAGTTCAGGCACACGACAGAACCTCCCCTCCCCCCTCTCGCCCCATGTTTTAACAGCTATGTCACAAAGAAAGACACAAATTGTCAGTAAGCATATGAAAGTGTTCAATAGCAGTCATCAGGAAGATGCAAATCAAAATAAATATATAAAAGAATGTATAAAATGAAAAGGAGCTAGGTGTCTGAAATCCTAGCTACTCAGGAGTCTGAGATCAGTGTATCTGCTAGAAACCAGCCTAGGCAGACAAATCAAATCTATGAGACTCTTATCTTTTATTAACTAGCAAAAAGCTGGAAGTGGAGATTTGATTCAAGGGAGTACAGTGCCTACAGAAAAAAGCTAAGCAAGAATGGGAAGCTGAGAACAAGCCCCAGTATGTGTATGTGCACACACGCACACACACATGCACACACATGTACACACACACACACACACACACACACACGGGATGGCAATACTAAATACCAAGGAGACCATGTGGTGCAACTGCACTCTGCTGATGGAATATTTAAAATGGTACTGTTAATTTTGCAAAATGTCTGGCAGTTTACATACCTCTACTCAACAGCATAATTTTATTTCCTACATATACAGAAGATTCACTGTATTTACTCACTTTTACTCATAAACAAATGTTACTCATAAATGTTACTCATAAATAGCTCAAATATTCATAAAAAGGATAATAGATGAACCAACTGTAGAACCAAGGGAACTTTATGGAATGATAAAAACTGTTAGGGGTATGGATTATATGAATTCACTAAATTATATATCTTAAAAACTATAGGGAAGGGATAGTAGGGGAAAAACAAAGGAGGGGTTAACAATGCTCGATAGGAAATATACTCATTACCTTACTCATGTAAATGTAACCTTTTTGTACAGTATCTTTACAATAAAAAATATATTTAAAAAACCTTCAAGCAATTAATTAACTCTAATTGTAAGGGTTATCTTTCATAAAATCAAGCCAATGAATTCTAAAACTACTTCTATATGTCTAGGTAAAAGGGACAGTCTGAATACAGACTCTGTATAAGCTAATAGTAGTATTATGTCAATATTCCTAATTGTCCTTGCTCTAGGTAAATATGCATGTAGATATTCTGTGGTAACAGAGCACAATGTCACCAATTTATTCTTAAGTTATTCAGAAAAGAACAAGAATATATAGAGGGCTGGGAAGGCGGCTCAGTGGTAGAGTGCTTGCCTTGCAAGCCAGAGGCCCTGGGTTTTATTCCTCAGCACCACATAAGCAAAAAGCAAAAAGCCGGAAGTGGCGCTATGGCTCAAGTGGTAGAGCGCTAGCCTTGAGCTGAAGAGCTGAGGGACAACACCCAGGCCCAGAGTTCAGGCCTCATGACTGGTAAAAAAAAAAAATAATAATAAAGAATATATAGACATACAGATGAGGGAGGGGTAACAGGGACAATTTTTATTTCAATTGATGAAATTAGAAGGTATTCCTGCTTTGCAGTACTTCTGTTTGGGTCTAAAATTATAATAAATTGTAATAAAAATTATAATAAATCCCTAGGGAGGGAAAGGAGGGAAGAAAGGAAGGAGGAGAAAAACTGTTCCAGCTACATGGGAGGTTGAAATTGAACCAAGGAGTTCAAGGTTCAAGGCTAGCCTAATAAAACATTTAAGACTCAAAAAGTGAAAGATTATTTCATCTATTTAAATTTACCAACAAGGAAAAAGTGGTTGTTTTGCTTTTACCCTAACCTTAACTGTTGGCTTCCTAATTTTACAAATGAAAAATAACAAAATCCAGGAAAGCTAGACCTATAGTCAGATGACTCAGTAGTGATACAATTAGATAGGACCTTACATTCCTGATTCTCAATACTTTACAATTGTTTTTACAGTAGGTTTACTTTAATTCTTCCTAGTAAAAACTAGTCAACATTACTTACTGCTAATAGAATATTTCTGAGAAAAAAAGCAATTGCAACTATAATATTATATTACACACACATACAAACAAGATAGGGCACTCCATTGTTAATCTTGAATGTAACAAGGTAGAAGCTCCTTGGGGAAGAGTAGGGAGATCACTCCAAAAGATGAAAGCAAAGATGACATATAATTAAGTTATATCCCAAACTGACACACCAAGAAAAGAGGAAAGAGAAAGTTTAAATACATGGAAACTTCAAATAATCTAAGGATATAAGGGCTGAACTACCTTTTCTTTTGAGATTCTAGGAGGAAAACAAGGTTAATATATTACTGATGGTGGCTGGGAAGGTGGCTCAGTGGTAGAGCGCTTGCCTTGCATGCACGAGGCCCTGGGTTCAATTCCTAAGTACCACATAAGCAGAAAAAAAAAAGCCGGAAGTGGTGCTGTGGCTCAAGTGGTAGAGTGCTAGCCTTGAGCTGAAGAGCTGAGGGACAGCGCCCAGGCCCAGAGTTCAGGGCCCACGACTGGACCCAAAAAGAAAAAAAAGGCTGTAAGTAGAGCTATGGCTGAAGTGGTAGAGTTTTAACCTTGAACAAAAGAATCTCCTGGACAGTAGACAGGCCCTGAATTTAAGCCCCAGGACCAGCAAAAAAAAAAAAGGATAAAGCAGACTAGAATTATGAAAGCTGTGCTCTTTCAGCTCAGTATATTAGCTAAACCCACAAAAGATAACTGAATTATTATAGATAAAAACATTTAATTTGTATTCATTTTTAAATATCAGGGGTGGCTATACAAAGATTTTAATAATAGAGAGGAACTGTGTGCCTATGGTGGGCATGGGGGACAATGTGAACTTTCTGCTAATTTTCTGTACCACAATCATCCTACTTATTGTTCCTGTGTAGCTGGGGTGACAGTCATAAACTATCATGTTGAAATATCTTTACTTGTTGTGATGAGGTCTTGAGCACTTTTTGCCTGCACAATGCTATGGATCATCACCGCCTGAGTAGCTAGGATTACAGGTGTGAGCCACTACATGTGTCAGATTTTTTGTTGTTAAAAACCTTATCGATAGGGCTGGGAAGGTGGCTCAGTGGTAGAGTGCTTGCTTTGCATGCATGAGGCCCTGGGTTCGATTCCTCAGCACCATTTAAATAGAAAAAACTAAAAGTGGCGCCTGTGGTTCAAGTGGTAGAGCACTAGGCTTGCGCTGAAGAGCTGAGGGATAGTGCCCAGGCCCAGAGTTCAGGCCCCACGACCCACAAAAACAACAACAACAAAAAAAACCTTATCAATAAATTTCTTACCAGGTCTAATGAAGACATTTTCCACAGACAACATTGCTGCTATTGGAAGTAGTAAATCTTCACAATCAAGAGAAGCAGCCTTGATTACTGCACATGTCAGATGTGGAGGGAGAGGAAATTCCACCATAGATAAACCCAATCTTGTCACATGGCCACTCCTTAATACAAAGAAAAAGTTCTTACATACAAATGTAATACTGATGAGAATAAATCAGATATAATTTAAATTTCCTGAATTGAACTCTAGATATTCAATCCCAGGAAACTGTGATTATTGACAAGATGAATATAAGGATATAAACTGTCTATTATAAAACCATGATACAGCCAAAAATTAAACAACTGAGTTAGGAGACAGTAGTATAATAGACATTAACATATAAAAGCACAAAAGATGCCTTTGAAGAAATAAAAGAGTAATAAAGGATCTCCCCCCATGACACAATCATGAAAACCATAATTCTGGCTCCCTTTTCATTTTTATATGCCCAGCATAATGTGTAACACTAAAATGGCAGATAGAAAATGCTTGTTTAATAAAATTAGTATTACACAAAAATGGCTTGGGTTTGGAGAATATTTCTGCTTTTGCTTTTAGTTTAGGTTTTTATTTGTTTGAGACAAGATCTCACTAAACAGCCCAGGCTTGTCTTAAAATCAAGATATACTCCTGCCTCAGCCATGTGCTTGTATGAGAAGCATATACTACCAAGATCAGCTAAAAAACTGGTTTTACAAGACAGGGTTTAAATCAGAACTATGGTGAAGACAAACTAAGGACAATTAGAATTTCCAATAAAACAATCCATTCAAATTGAGAAAAATAATTTTCTATTGAAAAAGAAAGTTACTTAGAATTCTGCTTAAAAAGAGATCAACAGCAGGCGCTGGTGGCTCACATCTGTAATCCTAGCTACTCAGGAAGCTGAGATCTGAGGATCGCAGTTCAAAGCCAGCCTGGGCAGGAAAGTCTCTGAGACTCTTATCTCCAATATACCACTAGAAAACCGGAAATGTGGTGCTGTGGCTCAAGCAGTAGAGTGCTCGCCTTGAGCTGAAGAGCACAGGGACAGCACCCAAGCCAAGAGTTCAAGTCCCACAACCAAGCAAAAAAAAAAAAAAAAAAAGATCAACAATCTATTTTTTTTTTACCTGTCAATAGCATCACACTGATAAAGTTGCTTAAGAGCTTCCAAAATAAGTCTCTCATTAGGTGGATCCAAATAGGGAAACCTGTGCATTTAAATGAGATATGAAATGTATAGGTTGTTTCTTGAGCATGGTAGAATTTTTACAGATTTGAAAATTGTTTAAAAAATTTACTTCTCCAAGGGTCACTCACACCTATAATCCTACTCAGGAGGCTAAGATCTGAGTATTGCAGTTCAGAGCCAGCCCAGGGAGGAAAACCCATGAGATTCTTATCTCCAATTAACCACCAGAAAACCAGAAATGGCACTGTGGTTCAGGTGGTAGAGCGCCTTTCACGAGGTGAAGAGCTCAGGGACAGTGCCCAGGCCAAGAGTTCAAGGTCCATGACGGACAAAAAAAAAATTATTTCTCCATTTCTTAAGTCCTCTTCTAAAAAGCAAAACACTTATGATCACAATCAATTCAGCAAAAATTTTCTTTCAGTTTATTCTTTTTTTTTTTTGTTGGGGGGGGTCTCATCGTGGGGCCCGAACTCTGGGCCTGGGCACTGTCCTTCAGCTCTTCAGCTTAAGGCTAGCGCTCTACCACTTGAGCCACAGCGCCACTTCTGGCTTTTTTCTTTTTGCTTATGTGGTGCTGAGGAATCAAACCCAGGGCCTCAGGCATGCAAGGCAAGCGCTCTACCACTGAGCCACCTTCCCAGCCCCTCAGTTTATTCTTTCATTCAAGATGTACTTCTTTTTATCCCCCCTCCATGTGAACTCCTTTTATTCTTGTTCTGACAAACTCTCACAACCAATATAACTACTTTCTTTAGCACAATTCTTCTTATGTTTTTGTATGTGTGTGTGCATTGGTCCTAGGACTCAAACACAAGGCCTAGCCACTGTCCTTGACCTTTTTTGCTAGATGTCTACCATTTGAACCACAGTTCCACTTCTGGTTTTCTGAAGGTTAACAGAACATAAGAGTCTCACTGATTTTCCTGCTCAGACTGGCTTCAAAACACAATCCTCAAATCTCAACCTCCCGAGTAGTTAAGAATGCAGGTGTTAGCAGCTAGCACCTGACTGCAAAAACATTTTAATTTTTTATGTTTTTGACGGTCCTAGGGCTTGAACTCTGGGCTTGGGTAATATCTCTTGAGTTTCTTTGGCTCAAGGCTAGCTCTCTACCCACGTGAGCCACAACGCCACTTCTGGCTTTTTCTGAGTAGTTTATTACAAAGAGTCATCTCATAGACTTTCCTGCCCAGGTTAGCTTGGAACCATAATCCTCAGATCTCAGCCTTCTGAGTAACTAGGATTACAGGTGTGAGGCACCAGCAGCTGAGTTTGCAAAACAATTTTGAAAAATGACCTGACTTCACTCAAACACATTTTTTTTTTCCAACTTGCCTACATACATACCTTATGACATCGTGTATGGCAAGGCACTTTAAGGTCAGAACTACAGATGTCAAACTAGTTCTCTTAATCTCAGGAATCACATGGTCAGGCATACATTGGTTCCAAAAGTCTTTACTATAAATCCGAAAACATTTTCCTGTAGCAGTCCGTCCAGCTCGGCCACTTCGCTGTAAGGCCTCACTTCTATAAAAGAAAAAAGAGCCCCCAAATTCTTTTGTGAGTTTTCTAAACAACTTTCTTCCTATCCCTAAATAAAGTAGAAATTATATATAATTAAATATCAACTGTTCTTTAAACAAAAAGGCCTGCAGGGCGCTGGTGGCTCATGCCTGTAATCCTAGCTACTCAGGAGGCTGAGATCTGAGGATCATGGTTCAAAGCCAGCCCGGGCAGGAGAGACCTTGAGACTCCTATCACCAGGAAACCGGAAGTGGCGCTGTAGCTCAAGTGGTAGAGCGCT